AGGTGAATCTAGACCTGAGTTTGGCCATGGATCTGCCCATACTCATCAGTGCAGGCACCGCCAGTTGGACAATTCTTTTAATAAGTATTTAGCAGAAGCCTGCAGGGCTTGCTTCATTTAGTTTTATTTCTTAGTCACTGGATAATGTATATTTTTGGAAAGATCTTTGGTTTTCCTGCAGGGTAGGTGGAATCCTTCCCGTGATACTCTGCTCTCTCGCAGCGTAAGTGCTGCAGCCTCGCTGCGAGCGGTGCAGAGCTGGTGCTGCAGGGATGAGTGAAATGGGAAGACTCCTCATGCAGGATCAAGCGGTCTTGCTTAAAAGACAATGCCTGACAATTACACTCAATTATATTTTAAAACCTTTGTTGAATACATCAGACAAATCAGTGCCTCAATCCAAGTGTCACTTGAAGGCCGGACTGAAGTCTTGGGCTTTTTAATTCATGTGGTGTGATCAAGAAGAGCTTAGTTTTGATCAAAGCAGGAACAGCCCAACTGCAGATGATCAAAGACCTGAAAGTTAGCTGCTGTAGTGGGAAACCAAATCTGTCTCTCAGAAGTGAGCTCGGTAAGCTGCTCAGCTGGGAGTGTGATTGCAATTGAGACACGAAGGTTAGAAATGAAGAAAGTCTTGGTTAGTCAAAAATGGAAAATTACAGAGAGAAGAGCATCTCATTTCTGGGCATTCAGTACTGAGGACCATCAAAAAAATAAAAAAAAGAAAAAGTATTCTCTAAGCACTTGCAGCTCTTGTGGTATTAAGATACAGAATTCGATCATGGAAGAATGGTGTAGATTTGAAAGCTACAGTTGACCTGAATGGCCATAGGGCAGTGAGTCGTGTGCAGTACCTTTTAACCTGGGAAAACAAAACCCTGCGTGCCACTGTGTGGTTTGCTGTGGTTCAGTTGTAGCTGTGTTCCCTGTTGTAAAGAAACATGAATTCTTGTGTTGGTTTTCCTGTAGACTTGTAACCTTGGAGGAGTAAAAGTTATTTAGATTTCAGTGGGGGAAGTGAAGGCAATGCAAGGAGAGGACATTGTGGCAGTGACGTATCAACTCTGTTTTATAGGTATAAAACATCACTGTCATTCTTGTGAAGCTGAAGCACAGCCCTTTCCCGTAGCAAAGGGAATAGCATAGTCAGGTTTGTCACTTGTCACTAATCAAGAGTTTAAATCAAAATAAACTGTGCTACACCCTTGCTTCGTAGCTGGATATCACACTGAGGAAGATGATGGGGAGGACAATTTCCATTTGTGCTAATTAAGCTTTCTGACAGGCAAATGTTCCCAGAGAGCCATGTGGTTCAGAGTGGGAGTTAATAGGCAGAAGCAACACTCGGAGGGAGTGGGTGAGACTGATGCTTCCTCTGGGAGAGCGCGAGGGGCTGGTTTCCAAACACTCCTGGCAGGACCAGACCCTGCTGAGCCGAGGAGCTGGGTTTAAAGGACATCCGTGGGGGCTGAGGGAACCCATGTTCCTTGTGCTGGAGCCTGGTGTTGTGGAAAAGCTGTATTTTGGGAAAGTACAGCATGAAATGCTTCTGCGGGGAGAGGGTGGCCAGTGCTCCAGGGAACTGCCTCTGCTAGTTTGCCTCGGTGTCTATAGCAGGAGGGGAATTGCTGTGAAGCAAATAAATAACATGAGCGCTCTTGGGAGAAAAAGGGAAAACTTTGGTTTTTTTTAGTCTATTGGCCAGATACTGTCTTGCAATTCCTTAATGCTTTTATAGCCATCGTTAATTGATGCAACCCAAACGCTGCCGCATCGGTAGCATTAGCACTGAGGAGGTTTGATGTCTGTCTGCCTGAAATGTGATTCTGGGTTTTTGAATGATTCAATGGGTCAGGCACAGAGTTAGGGTCAGCTGAGCTCACCCCATGCTCAGCAGCAACTTCTCCCTGCCCAGCGCAGAAGTGACACTGCCGTTGGTGTCCCCTGCCTTTGCTGTGGGAGACACGGAAGTGTCCCTTTGGGACCCCGTCTCACGAGTCTTCCCTCTCCACTTACACAAGATGCCAAATGGTGAATTTGACATTCCAAGTGACTCTGCTGGAAAAGCTGGAGCTATAGTGAGAGTCAGTGACTTGCAGGACAGTCCTGTGCTTTTCAAAGCTGTAGGTTAGTGCCGCCTCATGGATTCGCTTTCAGATCCAGAAGGAGTTTATTCTTCACCTAATCCTTTCCTCCTTACCATTCTGCCTCTTTGGTAACACATCCTTTCTCAGTTCTATTTTTGTTGTGAGGATTGGGTAAACAAGCAGTGATCAAAGGGATTCTTTGGGACGCAGGAAATTTAATCTCTGATTCATAAAATGACATCTTTGTCTCCAGTGCCACAGGCTGAAGCCAGCTTTCCCTTGCTGCAGCGTTCCCACGTGATAGCATGTGCTGTTTGACATCTGAGCTGCGCAGCCAGAAGTGTGCAGGAAAGATAAAAATAAATGTTAATCTAGATTTTTGCCATTCTTATCTGTCCTGAGGCAGGCACATACAAGGTGCTGAAATCCAGTGTTGGGTGAAAGGTGAGGATGACGCTGATAGCCATCGCTTTCCCCCCAGCACCCAAAGAGGTAGGGGTGGTGTGTAACGTGCTCTGTGGGGATGTCAGTAGCTATTGTGCAGAACAGGCGTATTCGGTGTCCCAATCTTGTCTGACTCAAAGAACGCAAGCAAAGAGTGGATGCTGCAAAATACAGTAAAAAAAATGAGTATTGCAGAAGGAGGAAGAAATTGTCTGGACTGATAGCCAGAGGGGACTTCTTTAGCCCTGTAAAATCCTGTGAGCAGCAAGAAGTCCTGTGGTTTTGGCTCCACAGAGGGAGATTTCAGTTTAGTTTTGGGAATGTATCCACACAGGTCTTTGGCCTGGTGCATCCAGGTGAGCTCTTAATCCAGTTCCAGCTGGAACAGCTTTCAAAATACATGAATTGCTCAGCTTCAGCTCAACAAGCCAAGCTTGCAGGAGATGTGCCAGTGCGATGTATTTCAGCTGCTTTTTAGTAAAGACTGACTGTCCAGGTGAATGACTGAGTTGAAAGGAGAGCCCAAGGCTTTTGGTGAGAGACCAGATGAAGGTTCATGTTATATGAACTGTATCTCCCTTCTGGAGGCTGAGGAAGTCTTCTCACAGATTTGTCACTGATTATGGTGTGCTTTAAATGTGTAATTTCCTCAACAAAACTCATAAAAATGAACGTGTTGCCTTGAAGACTATGCAAACACGTTTCCAAATAGTCACATTTTTAAAAGATTGCTGAGATTTTTTTATTTTTATCTTTTCCCCCTGACAGGAATCAGTTTACTTACTTGTTAGGAATTTATGATATATTCTCCTCCCACCACCTTCTAGGCATGGGCTTTCTTGTTCCATTTTCAAGGTTTGTGCCTCTCACTGGATCACAGAAACAATTGGTTTGGGATTTGTCAAATCTAGGGTAGTGCAAACCTCAGGGAGAGGTGAAAGAAACACTTCCTAAAGCAGCATTTGACAGGATGGAAACGTTCCCAGTTGGCAGCAGACTGCTTTGGGAGGCTCTTGGGTTTTTTCCAGTCACACGCTATAGTCCCTTTCTCCCTTTTGTGAGTTTCTCTCTTCACTACTTTATCAGGTTGGTTTAAGGGCAAAATTGAAAAGCTCTTTGCTTTTAGATGCTTCTGACCTTTGGAGACCGTGTTGGAGATACCTGGAGATGCTGTTTTCTGGACACTTTCCCTTCCTCCCACTGGGAGGTGTGAGTGCTTAGCACTTCTCCAAAAGAAGTGAAACTTTGGATCACCTAAAATTTTGATATTAAGTATAAACATCAACTACCAAGGAGACTACCAAGGCTTTCCTACTTAAGGATTACTTATTCAGAACTGAACAGACTGTCAGGTCAAATGTGAATGTTACGTTAAAATGACACAAACATGTTACATTTCCAATGGTGGTTTAGAAAAAACTCCTCCAGGAATCTTATATTTTTCCTTCATATAGAAAATTCAGAAGATAGTTTGAAGTTACCGTCTCATTGAATTCTGAGATTTTAGAGGATCCATCCAAATAACTTGCTCTAGCCTTGGTCATAATACCAATTCCCCCAGGTTTTGTCTCCTCATATTTCTTCATTATGCTCACAACTGCTTTGTGGGCATGTGCAGTTCTTAGGTGTTAGATTTTAATACAGACTTCTAGTGGTAAGTGTTGAAACTGGTACAGAGCTTGGTTTAAACCTCAAATCTTTTTTGTTGTTTCAGTACAGTCTTCCTGAATTCTCTGGACAGCCTGGGCTTTCTCTGGCCTCTAAACATGAGCAGCAACCATTGTGGTTTCTTTCCCTTTCACTCCAGTCTGATGGCTAAGGTGGAGGAAATTAATTAAAAAAATGAAATAACTGTGTCTGTATTTTAATTAAGGATAGCATTGTCATTTGCACAGTGTCTGAGCATTCAAATCCTTTCATTCTCGAAACCATCTCAAATTTTTTGAGAAGAAAATTCCAGCTCCCCTTGCCCTCCAAATATACCAGAAATGTAAATCCCAATGAAAAGCTGGTTTACACAGAGCTATGCAACGATCTCCACAGACAAGATGCAACCTCTGTCACTTTGCTTTCTGCATAAAAGCAGAATTTAAAGTACCGTTTTCTAAACTCTTAACACATTCCGGCACCCAAAGGATAGGAACAGAGTTCCTTAAGTGAACACTACTTTTCCACTGACTTTCAACAGCAACTGGATGTGCTCACTGCTGGAAGATGGAGCTGGTCCTTCTTGGTGCCTACAGGACAGATTAATTCTTGTAGGGATGGATGAGCTGGAAGTGAGTGGCCATTCTACAATCAGTGACAATATCCGTGTTTTCCTGTGAATCAATAACTTGGATCATACAGTGTAGTTTTAAGTTAGGCAGAAATCTTAAAGGACAAATTTAAGCAAGTTTCTGCTGATGTGTACGACAAGTATTCTAGTGTAAGTCTAATTTATATTTTTATTTTCTTGTTCTTCTTTAGGTATTTTGAGTTTTACGAAGGGCCTTTGGAATACAATTCTACCAAATGCCTGGAGTTACGGCAGGACATCATTGAGGTGAAGGTTTTGTCGATGTAAGTATGAATGAATGCTTTCTAAAAAGGGTTAGTTTTCAGGCCGGATGAAAATAATAAATTACAGTGACGTTGACCTAAGATGCAAGGCTCAAAGGATCCCATCAACAGGGTTTTCTCGTCATGGATTCCCGAGGTTTTCTTATATGTGCAAGTAGCGGCATTTGAATGTGATCTGAGGTCCATTTGAAAAAAATTGAGGCTTTTCACAAACATCGAGGCATTTTGGTGAGGCCTGGTATCACTGTTTGGAATTAAATACAGTGCTTCAAATATTAGTTATGGTATTATGTTCCAGGTAATTGAAGAGTAAGAACAACCAGACTGACTCATGTAAATGTTTGCCTGGCTTGAGGCTCTGTCTCTGACAGTGGCCAGTAGTGAAGGCTAAGAAATGAAGTGAAAAGATTGTCCTTTCCTGATAACAAATACTGACATGGGGACTTGCTAGGTTGTGGCTGGTGACTGGACTGCAGTAATCAGAGTGAACAACAGACCTCTCTATTAATTTGCTTAGATCTTTTTCGAGCCCATTTGTACTTTTGACCTTCTCAACCGTCAGTGAGTTTCATGTCTTAATGACAGTGAAAAGCTGAAAAATGTGATTCTGAGAAACAATAAAATATCTCTAAGTGTCTTTTGTGGTCCTGTATGTACATCAGGAAACTGATGAGTTGAATGAGATGCATCTGTGAAGCTGCAGTGATGGAATTGGGGAAAAAAAAGTGAGGTTGCCAATAGTGGGGTGTTTTTGTTCTACCTTTTCAGCATTGCTCTGAATTTAGATGCTTAGATTATGCCTGATCCCTTACCATATCTAAAACCAGTGGTTTAGTAATCTTATCAACAATCCATAAGGCTTGTTAAGGTCTGAAAAATCCACAGAGAATCTCAGTTGAAAGTGCAGCTGCACAAGTGCACAGCAGTAAGCAATCAAGGCTACGGAAAATACAATTTGTTGCTCCAGGTCTGCGTGATTTTGAGTGTGTCTCCCTCGCTGACTATGCACAGGAAAAAATGTAGGTTATGTCCTTGTCTTCTGTGTTTGGTACTGGATGAAGGATAAACGAGTAGCAACTTTGCACTGCTTGCTGACTTGCAGTGCTTAAAAATAAGTAGAATGGGTGAGAATGTCACACTTCTGCCAGTGTTCTGCTGAAAATGGGGAGTTTTGAATTGCTTTTCTGCATACTTATCAGATGGTACAGAGAATAACTCATTTTTCTTTATCTTATCCAGTGGCAGAGAGAACACAGTGGACTCCTGCTCCACTGGAGAGAGTTAACTTTAGTTTTGTGATAGATGCCATTTGACATTAAATTCTTTTACTATGCTGGGTTCTTCTGATGTGCTTGCTTCTAACGTGGTAGGTTTAAGTCAGCCCTTATGGTAGTGGAAGATTTCCAAGTTAATGTGCTCTGGTGGGCTACAGAAAGTACAATACGACGCAATTCCTTCCTGTAACTTCCACAGCCTGGGAAATCTTAACTTCTACTCACTTTATACATATAATTATCTTAAAAGTCTTTACTTTATTCTAACGTTCGAAGCCCTCAAGCCTGAAAAGAACTCGTTAAGACCTATCAGTCTTGAAGTAATCTCAGACTTCAAAATTTTCTAGCCAGATTATGACATTGCTCCCTAGCTCTAGATTTTTGCAAGGCCTTCGTTATCTCTGTTGTCCAAACACAGAAGAATATGTATGAGCTCTAAAGTAGAAGCTGTTGGAATTGACGATAGCACCAAAAAGTGTATCATCCTGGACCAGCCTAATCACATAGGAGTGTGATTTTTTGATCTAACTAAAAGTAGATTTATTAACAGAGGGGGAGGGAGAGATCTTTATGTAAAGAGCTTTTCGTGTCCTATCGCTGCCACAGATGCTTATCCCTTCACGTGTGCTCTTACAGGTTATAAAATGGATTTACCAACAGTGCTGTCCTGTAGGATCTCACGGATTAAGTTAACCTCACCAAAATGTAACGTAATTGGCCAAATTAACTAAAGTATCCCCTTTCTGGGCCCTTGTACTGGGTGCAACTTTTCCCCCCAAAGCTGCTGTCGTTGGCAGACACTCATTCCTTCCCAGCAGACTGAGGACAGACTTTGGTACAGTAACTGCTTGCTCAGTATTGTATTTTTTATTCTGAAGAAGTGGAGAATGCCTGCCAGGGAAGAAAAGTCAATCCCAAACATATGAAGAGCTCCATCGGTACCTGTGTATACGTGGCTTAGAGTTGCTATGTCTGAGCAGGAAAAGAAAAAAAACTGATAAATTTTGCACTGAGTAGACTATATGATTTGTCCTATCAAAAGTGTACTGCATGGTACCCTGGCTGCAGCTGTTTTAAGAAATGAAGCTACTGTAGCAAAATGATTTTTTATTCTCTTTCTTTTTATCTTTTAGGGTGAAACAAACTGAATTGTTTGACAGGTGGAAGAACCTACAGGTGTGCAAATGGGAGATGAATGTCACAGAAGCAAATTTATTCAAGTAAGAGTGCTTCACATTAATGAGACTGAGTAAGATTTACTTTAGTTTGAGTTTAGCTTTCTCTGTAGTGACCAAACCTTTATATGGATAGCAAGACTAAGCATTGTAACACTATTGCTGTTGGAGTACTATCTTTTTGAATAAACATGGACTTTTTTCTATTTTAAAAAGTCAATAGCAAGTCCAGCTATGATTCAAGCAGAAGCGAGGATGGAGCCGAGATTTAATGGCTGCACCTAATACAGCAACCTAACTCTTTGGTGACATCAAGTGATAATATCATTGGTGACACTACAAATTTGACCTACAAAATAGTCAACCTGGATTTTTTCTGTGGCGTGTTAGATGCTGTCAGACTTTGTTTATGACTTCCTTTTTTTTAAATACCTTCTCACATATTACTCAGTGACTACACAAATATTTCTTCTCCTCTTCAGAGACCTCTGCAGTTTGTTTCTGTAGTACTTTGTCTTCTTTCGTGTGACTTCCTCTTTGCTGAAGGTCCTCCATGGTGCTGTGAAGGAAATAGTAGAATGAAGCCAAAACAATATTCAATGTATATTGATATATTCACGGGCTATATTTGAGTAGGTCTAGAGAAAACTTTGCTTCAGAGTAAGTGAAATATGGACTGGTTAAGTCTGTAAGTTATTGGCATGATTCAGAGCTGTTGTTTAGAATAAGGGCCCACAATTTTATCCTAGTTTTGGGTGATTCCAGGAAGTAGCTGTCACAAGTTAATGAGACAGTGTGAGAATGTGCTGAGTTAGTCATTAGCATCTTTAAAAATAACTTGTTAGTTCAAGGCTCATAGCAGTTTTTATAATGTGAGCTCAACATGTAAGTGTTTTATTTTTTTAGTACTTTTTCTTCTGGAAGTGACTTTATGGACAATTATCAGAATCCATTTTGAAGGCAACACCCATCAGGGTTAGAGCCTGCTATCTTAAAGTTTGCTTAGATTAGGAGAACTAACAATTGTGCCCAGAGTGAGAGGAGCACACTGAAGTACAGAGGCCAGCCCAGAGGTGGGAGCAATGAGAAAGAACTACCTAAAGACCGTCAGGAGGACTGTCACTCTCTTTCAGACCAGCACTAGGACATTAGGGAGAGAACCCCTTTCCATCCTAGACAGTGCGTGGGGAGAAAGAGGAGAAAGACTTCTGTTGCTGGCTATACTTGCCTGACTGATAGATACATCACTGTGTGAGAAACTCCCGCTGGCACTCGGATGTTAACTAGTTCAAGAACTGATTCCAAGTCACACTAGCCATGAAAAAAGCAAGTTCAAAGTCTGTTTCTTTTTTGCCTTACGAGATAGAGGCTTCAGTGTGTCAATGTGTGGGGAAACTCTAGTCCCTTCAAAGCTGACTGAAGTCTCTGAGTTTGGAGATAGACTGGAAGGAGGCTAAAAGGTGGTGGTCTAGCAACACGGAGCTGTGGGCTTTCAAACTTTGCCGGTAGTGGACCATCGGGTGAGACGGGGAGACTCCAACAAAAGTAAAATGGCAGCTAAATAAGTGGCAGGGAGGGAGAAAGCACAGGAATCATGCTAGCTTTTTAATCTGGATGCTCAGGAAAACCACTTCCTTGATCACTACTCCGGAAAACTGGTTGGACATTAGATTAAAGAACATCTTTTTCAATTCCTTAATGCAGAACTAGTGAAGATGTGTTTTTCATATATCAGATATCACAATTCCATCCCACTACTTGCTTATAATTATTTTGTGATTTCTTAGAAATCTACGAAGTTATTTAGTTCTTAGAGATCTGTTTAATGATTTATTAGAAATTATTCATTGACTCAATTGCTGTCTTGATCTGATCATCGTGTTGTGTTATGCTGTGTGAGCCAAGTATATAATAGTTATTGGACATCACTGGAATGTTTGCATAATTCTGTATGTACTTTCTGGTGCTTGTAATAAATCCCATAAAGGAGATTGGCTTATTCTTCCAATTTACAATGAGGCCACACACCTCAGAGGCAAGGTATTTAATCTAGGTTATTTGAGAGCCGTTTGGCTTCGTCTTCATGTTTGTCCATTGGCTGTGACATGTATTTTTCACTGAAGATGTAAGTTGCATTGATTGAGAAACAAACTGGCTCTGTAGTAGAAGTAAGCTGAAGTCAGGGCTTTCAGTTCCACCAGTAAAATGAGAAAAGAATTCAGGGAAAGATGGGAGCTATGAAACAGACCCCTATTTGGAAAACTGCCTTTCCTAGTAAAATTTCATATGAAGCTTATGGTGAGGGAATGAGGCTGAATGTTTTTTTCTCTCATGCCATGAATCCCATTTCTGAGATTGCAAAACTGTTCTTGTTTGCATTGGAATACCTGCCCTTTTGTCCCAGGGTCGAAGAAAATTTTGGCCGTTTGCATGAAATTTTGGAGTTATAACCGTGTTCAGTCTGCCCAGCACCCATTTGTCGGGGCCACGTCATCTTCCTGATGCACATACACAAGCTTAAAGGAAAAACTACAACCTTTACAAGTTTTTTTGCCTGGTAATGAGTAAATAATTTACAAAAAGGGGAAGAGAGAGAGTAATCCATTAGCATGGTTTCCCCAGGATATTAAGAGCGGAAGTTCAGCTTTGGGGTCTGGAGCAGGACAGAGTTTGCACGTGTGTTTATCCTCCAGCCCAGAAGAGATGGTTACAGGGATCTCATTTCTTCTGTTGGGGTTTTTTTTGTTTTGTTTTTTTAAAATTGTTTGTTTGTTTGTTTGTTGTTTGGTTTAGGTCTTTTTTACCATAAGTTCCTCAGTCAGCTTCACTGATTCTAAAATTTTCTAAAGGAAAATCCAACAAATCACCATTTTACCCCTCCTACAGCTAAAAAGATTCTTTGTGCTAAAGAGTGCCTTGTTAGGCATAACAGTAATTGCAGATCCTAAAGCATGCTATAATTTCCTTGATCTTACTTCCGTCATTTTACAGGTCTACTTTGTCGAGGTGTTGTAATGCCCCTGCCTTTCTGTTCACCACCCAGAAAAATACCCCCTTGGGAACTAAACTGAAATATGAAGTGGATACAAGTGGAATCTTCCATATCAACCAAGAAATCTTCAAAATGTTTCCAAAGGTGCCTCATGACTCTGCACAACTTTGCTCTACTTGATGCATTAGATATTATGTATAGCCAAGTATTTAGCAACTAGCTGTTGGACATTTCTATAAACTTCATTGCTTATACTTTGAAAATGTTTTGATTTGTAGGTTTGAGCCGATTATCTTATTTTCTAGTGGTCATCTGCTCTAGTATGCATTATATATATATATATTCCTGAACCATATTAGTGATCTAGCAGCAAAGCAGATAATGAAGTAAGAAATCTGAATAAAAGAGTCACTTATGGATCAGAACTTTTAAAAAGTACAGTAAGTACAATACTCACATACAATAAGTCCAACATATGGAGTAGGTCTGCTTTTTTTAGGGGCATGATTATTTTATAATTCATGTTCACAGTAAGTAACTATTTTTATACTTATTCTTGTTTGCGGCTTATTTATGAGCAGGCTGCGCAATTTTAAAATACATTCGTCTTAATGATTATTCAAAACCTTTTTAGCAAATAATCCATGACCTGACGGCCATTCAAATTTATAACTGGTGGGCAATTGCCATTGCGTGTAGTGACTGATGTGCAGGAATGGGCTTCTGCAACTCATGCTTTGTCAGGGAGCACACCTTATGAATTTAAAATGACATATTTGGAGGGGGTAACTAAAGTGTATCCTTTTCAGAAAGTCAGAAAAATATTCAGGTTATGTACTTCGATTTTTGTCATTAAAGTTTTCCTTCAGGGTCTAAACACTTTTAAATCTGTTTGCTTTCTGAGCGTTACTAAGAGGTAGGGTGGTGATGTTATCTAAATGTCCACATGGGGAACTGGGGCAGAGCAGGAGAAAGGCTCAGATGTAGGAAAGCACTTTGGCATCTGCAGACATGCAAAGAATAGGTACATCTAAGTCCAGGAGGATAATCCTCAAAACCCTGCCTGATTGCACGGATGAATGCATGAAAGACTGGACGTCTACACTTTTGCTGGGAGCGTCCTGTAGCTGAAGTTGCATTTATCCAGGTATGCCTCGAGGGTGCTCTGAAGGCATTATCGCCTGCCAAAGTACTTTTGGGGTTCACTGTGCAGCACTGACGTGACCAAAGCCACCTTCTGCCTCAGAGCACGCCAAATGTTGGAGGGCTCAGAGCATGGGAGCAAGACTGTAAGGGCGAGAGCCTTGTCTGAGTGCAGAGATCTGGCTTCTGATCTCTCTTTCAGGACTGCTGAGGCATTTTGTGTTAAGAAACCACTGGATAAGGCACAGATAACTCTGTATTGCCTCTCTGTTAGTCAGCTGCTGCTTTTCTCAGACGGGTGTAGTTGCGTGCCCTTTTGCCTCGTGGCTTATGAATGCGCAGGAAAAATGCTGGGAGTAGTCACCTAGAAATGCCTTGCCAGTATCACATCTCTCTTTAGTTTGTGGTATGAAATTATTGATAAAATATGTATGTACCGAAACAAGCGCTCTCATGCTTATGTAAGCACATCTCTACATATTCATAAGGTGTGACACGGCTCAGTTCTGCGTCACAACCCTCTCAGCCCAAAGGCCCAGTTCTGTTCCCAGAGATGTGATTTTCACTCTCTCTGGCTTCAGTGGCAGCTGCATGTCTGTACATGAAGACTGAATTTTACCCAAAGATTACAGAAAAGTGCATCCTACACACGTCCAGAAAGGTGCCTGACCAAAAGCTCTAAGCACTGCTGGTCGTACAAGTACTAAATAATAAAAACTAATACTATTAGTATAATCAGCTGTAACAAACACTAGAATTTCGTCTGATAAATAGCTCTAATGTGCTGTCTGACTCAGAGAGTCATCTTGGGCTTTACTAGCTGCTCTGGAACTATGCATGCAGATTTCTCAAAAGCAGGACATCAGAGCCTGAGGAGCGAGCAGTTTGCAGGCAGCTCAGAAGGCAACTACTGGGGTACACTGATTTTATGGTTCATGCCCTTATGGAAATCAGGAGGGAAGGCAAGTTTCTAAAATTACTCCTTCCCTTGTTAAGTCTGCACAAAAATCCAGGTTATTTCTTATTTTCCCTGTGACTTAGGTACCCATACTATCTCTAATTGCACAGAATAAAATCCCATCCATTTATTTGCACTGTGGTCAGCTTCCTATGATTAGTGACTCTGTGGCAAGATGCAGCTGCACCAAAAAAAAAGGGTAAAAAGTAAAAAAGTGACTTGTTGCCTCCGTGTTTCGGGATATTTAACTGCTTCCTTGCTGTGATGTTTCAGGATATGCCGTACCACCGCTCTCAGTTTAAGAAATGTGCGGTGGTTGGGAATGGAGGAATTCTGAAGAACAGCAGATGTGGCCGGGAGATTGACAGTGCAGACTTCGTATTTCGGTAATCACCACAGCACTGTTTTGCTTTTTGCCCATTTTAATGACAGATAAAGGATTGCAAAGCTGTTCTCTCTCACATGGAAATGTAGGATCTGCCAAACTGGCCACATGGAGCCTCCTTCTTGCATAAAAAACCACACCTCACCTTAACAGTGTTTTAATATTTAAAAGTTTTGCTTTGAGGAATTATTCTCCCTCTCTCAAGTGCCTAATCATTGACTTACTGACAAAATTTGATGTCCTCATTCAGGATATGCCCTGTCACTCAGGTTGTGGATTTATCCTTCCATGGACATTAGTCTAGGAGCAGCGTCCTGTGAACCTGGCCCTGATTTTCTGGTGCAGTTCTGAACCAGAGGTACAACCTCTTTTACGTGACAAGCAGCTTCAACACATGTTAATAACTCCACGCTGCGCAGCTCGTGTGGCTCAGAGGTGTGTTTCTGAGGTGATGCAGAGCTCAAGTGCTGGATAATGGGAGTTAAGAGTAATTGGCACTGCAGACTCCGGGGTGTGCGGAGACACCTGAATAACTTAGAAGGTTGAGTGTCGTCATATTGTGCCATCCGGGTTTCGCGCAGATTGGGTTGTCACATGACTTGCTTCCCTGGATAAAAGAGTTTAGCAGCACTTCTGTTGTCCTTAGTATATATAGGAAAGATTTTTTTGATTATTCATATGCATGACTAATCCCTCTCTAAATCCTGTTAAGCTCCTTGCCTGGGTCATGGCATGCGACAGCTAGCTCACAGATTCATGACCTGTTCTGTAGAAAAGAAAAATCTTTTTTACTTCTCTTGGCCTATTTTCTGATCCTGGGTATGTTGCTGTCAGTTTAGAATAACTGTGCATGAAGTAATTAATTTTTCTAATTTCATACCAGCAAAAAATTGTATCAGATTTTGGCTCACTGCATTCTTAATTTAATTTGGCATCAGATGAGAAATAAAATTTTACAAGTCCTACCTTCACTATTCATTGTTTTCAGTTCCTTGTGTCTGCTTCGTGCACTCACTTTATAGAAAAATATTATCTTAGTCTGTGAAACGGTCCAGGCTTCACATAATTTGCCTCTTAAATGTCTGGAGTACCCCATATACCTTAAATAATTATTGCAGATTCCCTTCTGTTGTGTTGGATCACAGCTATGGTTGAGAGGAGCGGTAACTGTTACACATGGAGATGACAGGCTGCTGAGTGGAAGTGGAAATACGGGCAGAAAATTTCAACATTTCTGTACAAGAACTTTTTACCACTGTTACACTTCAGTGAACTGTACCAAAACTGATCAGGAAGAGCAGATCGGACCACTACAGAACTTAGAAATTGGGTTGCTTTGGCTACTGTTTGGTGCTAGTTAAACAGATGCTTAGAACTGAAATATGAATAAATACATCAGAAAGAAGAAACCCCTGGTTCACCATCTCGAAAACGTGGGCCCAGCATTATGCATAAAGACATGCTGGAGCTTAAAAGCTTGAGAGCTGTTGACATTAATTTCAAGGTAAAGCTTGTGCTTAAGTTCAGTGGATGAACACATCCGCTTTCCAGTCTAACACTAGTTCACCAAACTGTCAGGAATCACCATCTTGGTCACGAACAAATCCTCTGAAATATTTCAAAACCTGCCTGTGGAGCGCTGATAACATTCAGTGGAACCTTCAGAACACCTGGGGAAATCTCTTATTGTCAGGAAGGTTGTGGCCAGCAGGATGCCACCAAGATTTTTCCGTGAGATACATTTTGATGCCAATTAGGTATAGTACTATAGGACATATAAAATTCACGCACGAATGGCATTTATTAGTTGTTATTCTCTATCTCCATCTACTGGCCAGAGTAGAGATCTATGATGAAACACTGTGTTTAGAGACAGGATTAGTCTCTTTGCAGGGGTGAATTTCTGGAGTCTCACGACAAAAGTACAGTTTGTGCAGATTGTGTCCTTTCTATAAGGAGCTAGCACTTCGGAATTCAGTCTTTCTTAATCCTGGCTGGTGGTTACTGTTCAAAAATATCGAAGCTGAGTATTTGAAAACCTTTTTCAAATGTAATCTACTGAGCCGAGTGCCCAGTGCTGGGTGGAACTGAGGTTGCTAGAGGACTTCAGAAGGATGTTGCATGACCCAGCAGAGGAGAGTGCTGGAAATGCCATTGCCTATGAGAAAGCTGGGGTAGCTAAAAATATTCTCTGACCTTCCCGAGGGGCTCTCTGGAAGGCAGATGTGAACCTCCTGAGAAGGACTTTGAAGGATTTTTGTGCGTTGTTCTGCTCCCCTACTCACCTTCTCCCCGTGACTGAGAAATTATGCTGGCAGCTGAACTGTAGTATTGTGAAAACAGGAAGTGTTGCTTGCCCTGAATACCTTCACAGTTTTCTCCTGCTCAGCCCTCATCTGCAGAAACGTGATGTTTGGGAATTAAGCACAGCAAAGATTTGAGATGTGGGGATCTAAACAGGGTTGGCTTTTATTGAAGCTTATAAATCACTTTAATTTTTTTTTCGAAATGTCATCGTTTATCTAACGCTAGCTTAAACTGAGTGTAGAATTAGTTGCTTTACACTTATGTTGCCTCTAATAACACACACTGAAGCTTTTTTTTTTTTCCTAGCTGGGTTTCCTGTGGAAGTTAAGCTTGTGTGATAGCTTGTGTGTATGTGTGTGTTTCAGTAATTCAGCGTCTCTTGAGGGGTGCTCTAAATTTTGTGAGATGATGTATCTAGGTCAAGGCCAAGGTGACTGGAGGCTAGGAGAAGTCAAGATTTGCAAATCTTCACAACAAGCTTGCTCCTAATAGCTTTGGCATCATTTGATGAATGCGCAGAGTCAGAACTGCTGCTCTTACACTGCTCTGGGAGATACTTAGAAAGCAAAAAGGAAGGGAAGCAGGATTAATTAAGACTGGAGTGATTTGTCTCTTGTGGAGCATTTCCGCTAAATATTCTTGGGTATAAACCAGAGCATGTTGAAGGCGATGCTATAGATATAGTTTATGTATTAATTATTGAATACAGCTCATCTGTTGCTGAGGAAGTCTTTGATTTTATGGGCTTCGTCCCATTTCTTGTCCTAAACTGCCATAGTAAAGGGCTGAGCTGCTATTAAGGAAGCAAAATGAGTGAATGTCTGCAAAAAGGGGCCAGGTCTGACAGACTGGGAGAAGAAGAGAGGTCTTCACACAGAGCCTAAGAACTTGTTACTTTAATGCCTAGTTTGAGCATCAACATGTTTCATACAATTTTAAATTTTCAATCTGTTTTTAGATTTGTCACTTGAAAGAAATGCTTCCATCAGTTCTACTTTCTAGTCTTGAAAAGCTGCAAGGAATTGTTTAACTTTATAACTAATTTCTTTCCTTTGTAGATGCAATTTGCCTCCTATATCTGAGAAATACTTTACGGATGTTGGGGTAAAGACGGATGTCGTGACTGTCAATCCCAGTATAATTACTGAGAGGTCTGAGTTTTGTATTTTCATTTCTTACTGCTTTTCCAAATCTGCTTTTCACTAAATTCTAACTGTTACAGAGATTTTTTTTTTCCCCAGTATTGCTTTAAACTGTCATGATGAGCCATGCATTTAATTCTGAATTAAAGTTATTCAGTATATGGAATCTGTAACAACTTACAGAAATGTGCTAAATACTTAGACCTGCAAATGGATAATAGAAAATTGGAAGCTGATGAGGTAAAACAATGACAGCAGAGCCATCCTTCCCCTGGCACATCCAGGCAAAGGTATTGGACACATTAGAGTGGAAGCAACTGGTTCCCACCCTAAATTCTTAGATGAAGTAACAGCACACACTGTCATATGATTTTTAAGGATGTCAGTTAAACTCTGTACCCAGTATTTACTGAGCAATTTTAATTTTAAATTTGTTAATGCCACCTTGCTGAGAGGTTTGGCACCATGTGGCTAATTATTGCTTTTCTTTCTTGCTGAGGGAATATGTTACTTTTCTCAAGCAGTATGAAATCATTTGCTTGCCTTCTTTTAAATGCCACAGTTAAACATCTGAGAAATCTTTTTGTTCTGCTTTTGTATTTACCACTTTTTTATATACACCTTTGTACTGAATAATACACTATATGGCTGACCGAACCTTAGAAAAATTACATACTTATCAGAAGAAAAATGAGAAGTGAGACACAATGAGAAATGTCTACAAAGTTCGTCCACTGTATATTGTCAAAAGAGGGAAGAATGTTTTTCTAATCCGCTGCATTTTTTTCCCT